GGGTCTCCGTTGGCCCCGCGTGATTGTCCACGTAGGCCAAAGATGCCACGTGTTTGGGTAGGTCCCCATTGGCCCCACGTGATTGGGTGAGTCCCGACATGGCTCCACGTGGTTGCCGATGTGTGGAAATTCACGTGTGACCCATAAGTGGGATCTCACATGCGGGGGAGTGTTGGAACCCCCAGTTCCACATCAGACAGAGGGAGAAGAGAAGAGTGCTTTAAATAGAAATACCCCTCTCTAACTAACATCGAGGCCTTTTGTGATAAAACCCCACACCTGAGGATTGTGCATGTGGTTAAGTGGGAACAGTATCGGTGTTGTTGGAGTGGGCCCTCGGCCCGTCGACCTGAAAATTTCTACAGCAAGCTTGTAAAACGCACTAGAAAGTCCAAAAATTAAGCTTTAGAGGTGGGAGGTTCACCTTACTGAGATGGAGGACTTCGGTTCGTTGGGTTTCCTTATTTTTCGATTTTAGAATTTCTTCGTTTTCTCTAGATTTCTTATTTTCTCGAGTATATGGTCTAGAAGCTTAGGTGATTTTTCATTGAGTTTGGGTTGCATTTGGAGGTGGTATGGTGGCTGTCTGAGTTGTGCCGAAAAGGAGAAGATGAGTTGCAGAGGGAGAGAGAGTTACGGGAGAGGCAAAGTTGAGATGTGAGGGAGATAAGTGGAAAAAAGAGAAGGATTGACTGATGTGAAGCGTGAGAATTAATGGTAGAAGATGAGTGAAGTGTTGAATATAATAATGGTTAAGTGTGTAAGTAGAGAGAAAGAGAGAGAGAGAATATATTTTAAAAAGGAAAAGAATGATGTTTGATGGATGTGTGTTGACAAGAGTGGGTTTTAAAGGAGGTAGATTGTCTGCCCTTCTGTTACCATGTCCTTTCTATTCCCTTCTATTTATGCGGTCATGATTAAGCCACGTTAATATATTATATTCCTATTATTTTTTGTCTTATTATCTCTATTAAAAAAACAATATAAAATATTGAAGTCGCTTAACCGTGATCACACAAATAGGAAGGAATAAGAAGGGCACGGTAACAGAAAGGCAGACAATCTGCCTCCGATTTTAAAACCTCAAAATAATTATTTATTTCATACAAGGCCAGCGCAAGCAGTGATGCACACTGCATGAGGTCAGTTTTTAGGCTTTAAATTTATCTCTGATAAATTTACACTGTTTCGAATATAACTTCTTCGTTATAACTTCGAATTGAGTTCCATCTGCGACCATGTGTCTATAAAAATGAGTACTATTCGAAAATAATAACATAAGAGTGGAAAACTGAAAAGAAGATTGAGGTCCACGTGGATGGCCTACATGGCATCTCAAAAGCATTTTGATAATTTCATTACTACTAAGAATAATATACAATAAATCTTAGGACATGAAATCACATAAAGCTTTAAAGACAAAAATTTTAAATTAAAAAAAACTCAGCCTAAAAACCCTAGTCGTTGCCTTCATTTCCTTCGCCTCCTTCGCTGGTTTCTTGGTCTGCAACTCAAAAACAGCCCTACAACTAAAAGAAATCCAAATTTCTGCGACCTAAAAATGAAAAAGGGACGCCCAGTTGACGCCTCAGGCGCCTAGGCATGCCTCGACGAGCCTAGGCAAGTATTTCGCCTAGTTCCACAAAACAGAGGCGAAAATGGTGAAGTCCGTGCCTCCAAGGCCGCCTAGGAGTGCCTCGAGCCAAGTTTTTTAAAACACTGAAAAAAATTAAAGAACACGAAGAGAACACACTATCTTTCTTTGGCAACTTGTAAGTCTTACACCTTTCGCGAGGGAGTTGATTAAAGTGTAAAATTACCCAATCTATTTTATTTTTTATGTTGATTACAAACCTTCTTCTTTGTTAAATACCACCAGATCTTCAAATGTAATAGTTGTTCCATTGGAGAATACGGACGTCATGGATCAAAGACCTTGTGAGGTTGGGCATTACAGATGTGCAGGACTACCAATTCCCGACTTGAACATGGAGAAGACATGTAGTGGAACCTAAAACTGGCACTGAGTTTCCAATGATTTTGGACAATGTTTTGAAAGGAAAAAGTAATTCTGATTTAAGTTCAAAGGTTGGTGTTTGTACTTGTGTTCTTCTTTAATGCAAGGCAGCCATGTTTATGTTCAAATCTTCTCAGTTAATTTACTATGATTCAACATTGACACTCTTATGTAGAATCATTTGAAATTTTAATTTTTGAAAAATAGTTAAATTGATGGACATTTTAGGAATATGGTGGGTGAGGAGAGTGTTTTAATTTTTAAACTTACTTTATAAGGGGTGAGATTATAAAATGGGATGGAAAAATAAGGTTGTGGAATGGGTCTTGTAGCTCTCATAAGTTTTTACGAAATATAAACATAATTTGATGAAAAAAAATATGAAGTCCACAAGGGTCTGTTGACCACTATTAGCCTATGTTGGCTCCGCCCATATGTTAAACCATCTTCAACCCAAAAGTTTTGAACCCAAACTTAAGACTCCCTAATACACCAGTTCATCTATACACAAGTCACACAAAAAAAAAATTCATCCAACCATGCAATCTCAAAATTTAATACGACAGGTTTGTTCATTGTTACAACTTGAGGTTAACTTCATTTTTTGTATATTACTTGTTTTATTTTACGGAAATTTTAACTTAAAAATTTACATTCGAAGAAATTATACGGACCACATAAAAATTATTTCATTGACAACAACTATAAGTACAAGCAACTATCTTAAAAATAAAATGAGTACAAGGGAAACTTAAGCTCGGTCAAATTGGATAAAGCAGTTTACTCGACCAATTCCATATCCTGTTGGCATAAGGAGGATGTATTACTTGCCACTAAAGAAAGTAGCTCATACAAGATCAATGCGTTGATGTGGGGCATGATATAATTAGGGGTATTTCAATCGTCAAGCTGATTACGCAATGAAGCAGACGACATACAAAGGACACATATGGTTTGGGATATGTGAGTTGGAGGCAAAGCTCATTGGAAAGTAAGTTTATGTAATGACATAGTCAAAGAGTTGTCCACCTAACTTCTACCCGTCACCATCCTCAACAAACGCAGAAACATTCTGCCGGAGAAATTTCAAAGTACTGTGCTAATGTGCGTGTTCAGCTGACGTGATACGATTGTGCGATACAACTATATGTTAAAGGCACACCATTTTCCTTAAATTTAAAACTCGGTCTTCGTCAACAAAACAAAGTATTATGGAGGCGCATTGCACTAGGATGGCCAATAGTGGTGAAAAGAATCTCTGTTTTAAAAAGTGGTAACCATTTCTAAGACATGACGCATGCCATGAACCATACAAGAATAACAACTTACGTCAACAGATTCATCATTGTGTATGGTTTTGATTCAAAGTATATTATTATGTGTTGAGAAGCTTACATACATATTATTGTTTTAATGAAACTAACCATCACAATTACTGTAAATTCGTTCTGTGTAAGTCCTACTCCTAATGCAAAGGAAATGAGTCGTGAACATTCAGGTTACAACTACAAGAGGTAATTGAATAAACCAATCGAGATTTGGAATTTTATGATGAAAATGATTTGGCTTGTACGTGTTTCTCTTCTCGTCATTTTAGCTTTATATTTGGGTTTCTAACAAACGTAATTTTGGGATTGGTCACTTGATGAGTTTATACTCATATTCAACGTCACGTCTTTTCTAAATTGATGTCTTTTGCAATTGTGATTAAGCATTATCTTTTTACGTGTTATATTGTTTGGACAATAGTTTCTCCCTAGTCAATAGACAAGATTAATTATAGAGTATTCGAGTTAAATATAGTATAATCTTGGGATAATGCTTAACAAGAAATTAATAGAATATGATAGGATCAGTGATGTAAAGATGGAGTAGCGTTAGAAGCGTGAACAAGATGATAATTTTACTTTGACTGCTAGATTAAATTTGCCCAACATTATTTTACTCAAAGAAACTTCAATCACATTCCACGCCAATTTCCATTCAATGTTTATATAAATAATAAGCAATTTACTTTTCAATTTATATAACACTAAAGCCTCTTCTTTGTTTTATTCTTTATTTTTCTTGAATATTTTATTTTATTTTACATAATAATCTACAATTTATTATAATTTAAAATAATTAAGAAAATGGCACTTTTGAAATTATGAAAGCTTCACCCAACAAAGCAAAAAGAGTTTGGATTTTCTTAACAAATCATGAAGATTCAATTACAAGCATGACTAGAAATAACTCTCTACGCACGCAGCACGCCATAATTGGATTTCCTCCGCAAAATGTTGCAAGTTTCCAACTCTTATCACCGCGCAATAAGTTAAGTTAGGAGGCGTGTGAACATGTTTGTCAACGTAAATAAAAATATTATCGCTTAGTTTATCCACATGAGAACTAGTAAATAAATAACGGGGTTTACCTATACTATGCGAGCATGTTCATATGCATCAGCCGTACTTAAAAATTCCTCCTTGCTGTTTTTGAGAAATAAAAACAGAGATACATCCTTATTTCCAAAAATATTAGCCCCGCAATAAGGAGAAATTTTTCATTGTGATCGGAATATGCATGGTACACCATGTGTTATTACATAAGTGGTGAAAATTTTGGTTTTTTAAGTTATTAACTTTTTAACACATATATCCTACTATTTATATAATAACACATAATGTACCATCATTGTTCCAATCACACTAAAAATCTCTCCGCAATAAGTTGAAAGAATGAATTACTTGGAAAAGTTTCTTTGTGGACGTAAGAGGCATGAGGTAATTAGTTACATGGAAATTTCTCTCCGAAAAAATCTCAAAAACTGAGTAAAAGGCGCAAAGTCAACTAAAAAACCAAATTACACTTCTCCCCATTTCCGCGCGATTTTATTTCAGAGTCTAATTTTCAATTCCACAGAAGAAACCACGTGGCTGTTGCTCTCTCCTTTCTCGCACACTTCCCTCAACACTCCGTTTCCTATATATAACCCCACCCGCAACTATTTCCCCTCGACGGCTCTTACAAGTCCCCTGGCACAACCAATTCATCCACCATGGCAGCCAATTCCCGGACGCTCGAGATCACGGTGATCTCCGCCGAGAATCTGAAATTAGATCGAAAACCCATCAAGAAAAACTCCTCTGTGACGGTCCGGCCCGACACCAACAGTCAGATTTGCACCACGGAAATGGACACCGAAGGCGGCGCCTACCCTCGATGGAACGAGAAGCTCGTGCTCGACTTGCCAGCGCACTCGAGGTCCATCACGGTAGAGGTCCAATGCAAGACGTCGTACGGCGTCAGGACGGTCGGGACGGCGACGATTCCGGCGTCGGATTTTGTAGGTGGGTACGTGCCGGAGGGTTACCTGCATTTTTTGAGTTACAGGCTGAGGGATAACAGAGGGGAGAGGAATGGGATTATTAATATTTCTGTGAGAATGAAGGTTCCGGAGATTTACGCTTGTTCAAGTTCAACGACGTCGTCTCACTCGAGAATGGGGTTTCCGGTTGCTGAGAACAATAATTTTGGTGGCGGCGTTGCGACAGGAGTTCCGGTTTGGTATGGTTCTTATCAGAAAAAACATTATTGAAGATCCACCTGCTGAAAGAATAAGAACAATATGTATTTTTGCTCACCACCAATGAGCTTAAATTTTTAGATTTTGTGTCTATTAACTATACAGATCTTCAAATTTAAAATCATTCAAATGAGGTGAGCATCATCTTCACTTAAAAGTCACGAGAAAAAATACTCCCGAAATTTAGACTCTTGGTTAAGGAGAATGCCAATGGCTTTTGTGTTCTTGAACAAAATTTTATGCCCACTTTTTTCTGGTAATCTTTATGCTACAATTGAATTCATTGTTACAAATTACAAATACCTGATTGTTTTTGTTTTGATTAAAAGAGTACGTAGAATTCCCACTATAATCTTAATCTTGTAGTCTAATACCTAAACACGCAGGAATTAGATTGATCTCATACCCGTTATCTCTCTCCTATATTTTTCCAACTTCTCTTGTAAACATTCGTTCGTGGTAGTATGAAATTTTCTTTGAAACATGATGGAAAACTAGGCTGCTCTATTTGAATCCATTTTTTTTTAACTAGAAAATAATTTTTAAATTTTAGGCCTTAAAAACTTGTTTGATTGAATTATTTTAAAAAACTAATCTCAAGACTAACTTAAAAAAAAAAAAAAAAAACCCTATTCACTAAAAACACCAGTTTAAGTTTTATGATTTAAAACAATTATAAATTTCATACCAAACAAGTTTTTGAGTCTTAAAAAAAATTGTTTTCAAGGGATGTTCTTAAAAAAAAATTGTTTTGAAAAATGATGAAATTTTTTAAGAATATTTGCTTAACTGCTTAATCAAACAAACCAAAGCAAACTAGCCATTAATGAATTGATTTGTTTGGTGGTATTTCTCTCCAAAGTCATTGAAAGATGTTTTAAGTTCCAAAATTATCTCTTCCAAATAATGAAATATTAAAAATTAAAATAACTAAAAGGGTGATGCTAGAGAAACGTCATTTTAAATCATATTTTATAAGCTACACAATGTGACAGATGATCGTTGGATTTCTTTTTTAAATCATTAAAAAAGAAGTCTAACCATTAACAATCACATCATGTAATTTACAATATCTAACAAAAAAGATGGTATTCCTAACATTATTCTTTAAATGATGTAGCTGTTCACATCAGATGCCACATAAAGTGGTATATAAATATGGTATAAAACATGGTAAGAATATAAATAAACAACTATTGCGATCAAGTTTAGCGGGACCTTACCTCAGCCAGCCGCCAGCTGCCAGCGATAACAGCTTGGACCACGTCCTCTTCCTTCTAGATGTCCTCCAGATTCTTCCTTTCGGCATGCATTTCTAATGCTACACCTTTCAAGTGGATACAGTGCAGGCTGCTCCTCAATGGCTGCCTATGAACATCACCTGTTTCCAGACGAGAAAAATAGTAAGCCTTTATAACATAAAGTATTTCACATCAAATAATTCACCCATTCTCCAAAACTGAAGCCGCAAGCTTATCCATGCTCGCTTGCTGGTTTTTAACAAAGAATCCAAAGCCAGGACAAATACAACAACCATAAAATATCGAAGCTGCAGCAACGCAACCGGAAAAAACAATTATACATTGCTCTTGTGCAGGCTCGATCTACATCGATTCCCCACCCACCTAACAACTATTTAATCCACTTATGTTGTCGTTCTACTAAAAAACAATAAAATAACAAAAATATCATTTCCACAACACAATCAACCTTTCTTGGCCACGTAAATCTGTATAGGGCAGACCCGCGACCTATATAGGGGCTTCGACGTCCCATACTTTGTGTATCATATATCCATCAAATTGATTTTTAGTGAAAGAAAGAAGGCTTATTTATTGATTTAATTCTCTGAACTGACATATTAGTTGATACACTGTCCTATATAGACAGGTATGTACATGAAAATAATAAAACTTGAAAATCATACATAAATAGATTAAATTGAAAAATGAATAGAAGAGCAGTAAAAGTTAGTTTATATCTCTGATCAATCATAGATACGATTCTTTACAACTGCACATGATTCAAGTTGTTCAAAGTTACACCATACTTCTCTTCATCTTGGTCATCAAATGTCTCGAAACTTTATATCATTTTCTCTACATAAATCAAAATCTAAAGCAATTATAGATCATGATATATCTTGTTTGTAATCATGTACAAAACAAACCAGCATCATTTCCCTTTTATAGGGTCGCAGTTTTGCTGTACACAATTTAGTCCTTCATGTCTCATTTCCGTTTGTGTCTTCCTACTTAATGGAGCTTTTTTAACCGCCTGCAAAAAATTGAAAATTGATAGAGCCAAAACTCCCCAGTAACACAACCGCAACCACCACCCCTCCTCTTCGCCAACGAAACTCATTCTCTCTCTCTCTACTCTCTCTTCAACCTTGTAATAGAGACAGAACAATTATTGTTCAATGAGATTCCAACTCTCGGCTATATTTGAATGGGAGACTCGTGTTCAATTCGATTCGTCGACTCCAATTTGATTTAATTGATTGACCAATAATTACTAAAACGCTGGGATTGGTGTATATACTCGCCGACGACGACCATGATTCCTGGATTTGTTGTGCGAGTTTGAAGAGGGAGGGGGAGGGAGGGAGGGAGGGAGGGAGGGAGGGAGGGAGAGAGAGAGAGAGAGAGAGAGAGAGAGAGAAGGAGGGCTGGCAGTAGCAAAGAGGAAAGCGACGGGCTTCTGACGGCAAGGTGGGGTGGTTGTTGCGGTTGCCAGCTAGATTTGTGGGTAGCTTATTAATTGGGAGTGTTGTCATCGTCATGTTCTCCCAAACTCCCATCTTGTGGTTTATTATTTTATTTTATTTATTTATTTTTTATTAATTTATTGGGTAAAGTACAAAAAACTACCTCAATTATGGGTCAAATGACACTTTCATACTGTTATACCTTCCGTTAGCTTGACCGTTTATTTCTCAGTTAAATGCTGACGTGGCTTGATCCGGGATCCATTTTTATTAAAAAATTAATAAAAAATTATTAAAAACAAAAAAAATCATTTAATATTATTTAAATATTAAAATAAAAAAGAAAAGTTATTTAAAAAAAAAAAAAAAAAAAACCCAACATCAATTCGTCCCTTCCCCCCTCTCTCCCTTCTCTCCATCTTCATCTTCTTCCCCTTTCTGCAACTGCAACCCAGAAAAACAGAAGAGAAAAAAAAAAAAAAAAAAACCAATTTGTTTCCCCTGCTCCCCACCCCCTCTTCTCCCCACACCCACGCACCCAACCTCCCCACCTTCGCACCCCATCCTCTGCACCCAACCTCGCACCCATTACCTACAACCCCGAAAAAAAAAAAAAAAAAAAAAAAAAAAAACCCATTCCCTTGGGCGAGGAGAAAATGGGCGCCCCGGGGGGGGGGGGGTGGTGGTGGTGTGTGGGGGGTGGGGGAATGGGTGTGGAGGGGAGAGGGTGGGTGTGAGGGGGGGCGGACAAACTGGGTTTTTTTTTTTTTTTCCTTCTCTCTTCTTCTTTTTCCTTCTTCTTCTTCTTCTTCTGCAGGTTGGGTGGGTGGGTGAAGGGTTTCCCGTTGTTTTTTTTTTTTTTTTTTTTTGGTCCTCTCTCTTCTTCTGCAGGTTGGGTGGGTGGAGGGGACGGGTTTGCCCTTTTTTTTTTTTTTTTTTCTTCTCTTTTCTTCTTCTTCTTCTTCTTCTTCTTCTTCTGCAGGGGGGATGAACTAGGTTTCCGTTGTTGTTTTTTTTTTGTTTTTTTGTTTCCATCTTCTTCCTCCCCCTTTCTAGGTTGCAGGGGGTTGGGTTTGTGGTGGGGGGAGGGGGGATGAACTGGGTTTGGTTTGGTTTGGGTTTTTTTTTTTTTTTTTTTTTTTCTCTTCTTCTTCTTCTTTCTCCTTCTTCTTTTCTGGGTTGCAGGAAGATGATGGGGAAGAGAGAGAGGGGAGATGCACGAAAGGAGATGTTTGTTTTTTATTTTTTTATGTACTTTTTTATTATTATTTTAATATTTAAATAATATTAAATGATTTTTTTTGTTTTTAATAATTTTTTAATAAAAATGGGTCCCGGATCAAGTCACGTCAGCATTTAACTGAGAAATAAACGGCCAAGCTAACGGAAGGTATAACATTGACACAAATTCGTAAGATGAGGTATGACATTGTCAATTTTAAAAGATGAGGTATGAAAGTGTCATTTGACCCATAGTTGAGGTAGTTTTTTGTACTTTACCCTAATTTATTTTGTAAAACAAAATTGTAAGACTTAGACCATCTCTAACCCTTAACCTAAAACCTAAGCATTTTAGCCCAGAAAATTTAGGTTTTAATCCAGAAACAGTTTTTCTAGTCCAACCCTTCTGGCCTAAAATTTTAGCCTCAGATTATTAAAGAATGAATTTAGGCTAATTTTTTTCTTAAAATAACTTTTTTTAAAAGAAAAAAATTATGTAGACTATCCTCATTTAATTTTATGAACATTTTAACCTAAAAATGTTTAGATTCTGACAAATACTGAAAAATCACTAACCAACACCATGAAACTCGTTAAACACTATGAAAAAATATGAAACAAATAAAAGATTTTTTTAATTACTTGAGCCGTTAGATTTAAATTTGGATCGTTAATGTTTTTTTTTACCGTTGAATTTTATCAAATTAGATCTTAACCGTTGGATTCAATGAAAATCTAAATAATATATATATATATATATATGGTGGACCAACCCCATTAATCCTGGGCTAAATTTGGCTTTGTTTTAGGTTTTAGGTCCAATTTAAGCTTGGGTTGGGTTGGATTTGGGGAGGAATAGAAGGGGAAAAATAGGTTATAGGCCAGTGTTGGAGATGATCTTAACATGGTTAAACCTTTGTTAAGTAGAATGACACATGTCGATCCAACGAAGAGGAGACATGTGACATCCCACATCGCCCAGGGGAGTGATCCTTATATGTATATTCCCATCCTTACCTAACACGAGGCCTTTTGGGAGCTCACTGGCTTCGGGTTTCGTAGGAACTCCGAAGTTAAGCGAGAAGGGGGCTAGAGCAATCCCATGATGGGTGACCCACTGGGAAGTCGCTCGTGAATTCCCAATAAACCCACTGAGAAGTCGCTCGTGAGTTCCCAAAAACAAAACCGTGAGGGAATGGTAAGTCCAAAGCAGATAATATCGTGCTACGGTGGTGGAGCGGGCTCGAGAAGTGATCTGTCCTGGGCCGGGATGTGACAAT